GCATATATTCAAATTCTGGATTATAGCTGATTGAAGCGAGTTTTTAGAGTACGGACTACCAAAAGACTTCCAATCTTGGGCAAATCGTTACGAGTCAGAACTTAGCAAAATCGACAAAGAAAATTCTGGAAAGTTAATCAACAGGATCTCCATTTCAGGCTTATTCATACACAATGCGTTGCAAAATTATATCACCACTTTTCACTCTTTTTTGTCTTTCATTTTGCGCACTTTCTTTTGTTCTCTTTTTCTGGTATTTTATTCGCTTTTCGAAATTCCTCACATTTAATAAAAAAGCACATTGACTTGGCGGCAATACAAAAGCTGCCTTGTCATAATGCGGTGGGTCGGCTCGAAGGTAAACACTCCAGCGTGAAGTGAAGTACACGTTTTCGCGCAGCTAAAATCCAAAACAGCGCAGGGCACTTAACTTCACCAACTTCCTTTTTTTATCTTAACAGAAGAAATTTCGCTGCTACGACTTTGTAAAATTGGTGTTCTCGCCTATGGTCTCTATTCGATCTGACATAAGCTAAATTCCTTATCGGATGGAGTGATAAACTCTTATCGGCCTTAAACTATTTAGACAGTCCTAGTGATTGACTGATTAGCATCGTGAATGTCTGCTCAGCGCGAACACTTATCACTCCTTTACCATTATCAGAAGAAAATTAATAAGCCTGTTATCCGCGCTCTTCTAAATGAGCTAATAAATCACAATAGCAGTTTTGATGCTGATTAATCATTATGGAAGCCCTCATAGACTTGAGACTATTTCCATCTTAGCAATCTAAGTGTAAATTTGCTAATAAATCCTAGCATTTGTTGAATAATTGCTTAGCGCAAATTTGTCCTCACAGTCCTCAAGAATATTGTAAGATTACCATGTACAAAAACTTCCAACGTATCGATTGGTGGACCAATGGAAACTACTTCACCTTCTTCACTCAAATTCCATTTTAAAATCCCCCATTTTGTTATTCTCGTGTCTATTCGTTCGACATGAGTATCACGATCGATTCAACACACATCCTTGAATTACTTTGTGAGGGTGTACCTCATTTCTCTACTTCATTAGTTGTTCTACTTACTGATTGACAAGCTTGCTTTCAAAAAGTATAGAAAATGACAGATTGTACCACAAAAACAATATACAATGAAATACCAATCAATTTTACGCAACGTTAAATACATCTGACTCACGACCTTGAAAAACTTCCTTATCAATTCATAGAGCAAAATGACATTCTCAGTAAGCAAGCGACCAGTTTAGAGCATTTTAACTACCCGCATTTTAATTACCTTAAGTGTGCAATTAGTCCTCTGGACTTTTTCTTTCCTCTCCCTCGAGTTCCTCTAGAAGTAATACGTTCGCATAGGAGCAAGCTCCGACTTGAGTTAATGATTACACTTTGTGTCCAGAAAAACCCAAGTATTCCCACTTAAGAAAAAGCTGAGAAGCAAATAAAAAAGTGAAGTTTTTCAGAAGCTTTAGCTGCTTTCTTCTCTAAAAATGTGCACTGCTCTCGTTTGCAATGTTATTGATGTGCGACCACGGACATTTTTCGCTAAAAGCAACTCAAAACTAACACGGTAGCTGCTCACTTATTTCATGATAAAAGTAAGTACCAGACTGCTGATGTGAGTTGAATTGCAAAATGCAATCTTTGACATGATCCCAATTCAGTACATCTGTTAATTCTTCTCTACCTTAATAAATATTTAAACGATTTATGTAGAGTGCTAGTGTCCTTGCTTTCATAGCCACTCATCAAATGCACGACATTCACGTGGGACCGTAGTTCTACGATTATATCCTAAGGGCGCAGTTCGCAAAAAGTGGAAAGGGTTACGTCCGCCTGTGCAGCATTTTGTAAGAAATTTTCCTCAGATTGCCTGCCATGCTTCGCTTATCTCTCTTATCTGTGTTTT